CTCGATACTGGCTGCTGTGCGGTCGGCCGCGGCAGGTCTCGATGCTGGCTGCTGTGCGGTCGGCCGCGGCCGGCCTCGATGCTGACTGCTGTGCGGTCGGCCGCGGCCGGCCTCAATGCTGACTGCTGTGTGGTCGGCCGCGGCCGGCCTCGATGCTGGCTGCTGTGCGGTCGGCCGCGGCCGGCCCCAATGCCGGCTGGTTCCGTGTCAGGGCACAGCTGACCCTGGCTCTGTATGCTGCCGGCCATTACACCATCCGCTTATGACGATCCGCTTCTACGAAGCCAGCCCCGGTCCCCCGGCTTTCGTGGACTCCTGCACGTCGTTATCCAGTCAGTCTGGATGATGGGACCGCTGTCGTGGTCGTGACACTCATGGACGCCCGGACCGGCCGGCCGACCGACTCCGACCAGACCGTGCTGCGGTACGCCCGGCCCTGGTGGCCGCCGTCCGTGCGACAGCGGGCCGGCGTCCGTCTGACAGGCGCGCCGCCGCCGCCGCCGCCGCCGCCGCCGCCGCCGCCGCCGCCGCAGCGCGAGCGATCGGTGCCGATCGGGCCGACGCGCGGCGGTGATGGATGGCCGCGCCCCGCCCTGCCGGACACAACAGGTCGGCCGGGCGGCGACGGATCCGCGCGCCCTGCCGTCCCGCGGGAGGCCGCTGGCGGCCGGCCGACGGGCGGCCGCTCGCCAGCGCAGGCGACACGCTGACCGTTCGGGCTCGCAAGGCGGGGTGTCGCCGCGGGTCAGGCGCACCGCGAACGACTCCCTCGGCGTTTTGGCACGTGCTTTGTGGGTGGATACTGAATGTGCGGCGCGGCTGGTCGCCGTCTGAGCAATTTGCATGATTGACGCGGATCAGCTGCCCTTTTCGTATTCCGCTGGGGACATATGAGCCCGGGTGGCTTCAGGATGGGTTTGAGCCTACATATTTCACGAGGCAATCAAGTGGGTACATGAAAGAGCAATAAGGTATGAAAGCGATGAATGAAAAGACAACGATGGTCCGTCATGAGATAGTCCATCACCGCCGCAGAGTCTACCCCTGCCGGTCTGTCCGGCCGGAGTGTGCGTTGCGACGGCGGGCTGGGTGAGGGGCACGGCCTGAGGTGTGACGGCGGGCTAGGTGAGGGGCACGGCCTGAGGTGTGACGGCGGGCTGGGTGAGGGGCGCGACCTGAGGTGTGACGGCGGGCGGGGTGAGGGGCGCGACCTGAGGTGTGACGGCGGGCTGGGTGAGGGGCGGACCTGAGGTGTGACGGCGGGCTGGGTGAGGGGCACGGCCTGAGGTGTGACGGCGGGCTGGGTGAGGGGGCGACCTGAGGTGTGACGGGGGGCTGGGTGAGGGGCACGCCTGAGGTGTGACGGCGGGCTGGGTGAGGGGCGACCTGAGGTGTGACGGCGGGCTGGGTGAGGGGCGCGACCTGAGGTGTGACGGCGGGCTGGGTGAGGGGCGCGACCTGAGGTGTGACGGCGGGCTGGGTGAGGGGCGCGACCTGAGGTGTGACGGCGGGCTGGGTGAGGGGCGCGACCTGAGGTGTGACGGCGGGCTGGGTGAGGGGCGCGACCTGAGGGTGTGACGGCGGGCTGGGTGAGGGGCGGCGACCTGAGGTGTGACGGCGGGCTGGTGGAGGGGCGCGACCTGAGGTGTGACGGCGGACTGGGTGAGGGGCGCGACCCTGAGGTGTGACGGCGGCTGGGTGAGGGGCGCGACCTGAGGTGTGACGGCGGCTGGGTGAGGGGCGCGACCGGAGGTGTGACGGCGGGGCTGGGTGAGGGGCGCGACCTGAGGTGTGACGGCGGGCTGGGTGAGGGGCGCGACCTGAGGTGTGACGGCGGGCTGGGTGAGGGGCGCGACCTGAGGTGTGACGGCGGGCTGGGTGAGGGGCGCGACCTGAGGTGTGACGGCGGGCTGGGTGAGGGGCGCGACCTGAGGTGTGACGGCGGGACTGGGTGAGGGGCGCGACCTGAGGTGTGACGGCGGACTGGGTGAGGGGGCGTCGACCGGGCTGGGTGAGGGCGCGACCTGAGGTGTGACGGTGGGCTGGGTGAGGGGCGCGACCTGAGGTGTGACGGCGGGCTGGGTGAGGGGCGCGACCTGATGCGTCGCCGCCGGGGCCCGCCGGCCGTGTTGAGTACATTCCCACGATCTCGGTCAGACGCCCACACAGGAGACGTTTTGGAGATACTGTCGTCGCCCAAATAAATGAAAAATGTAATTAAAAAGCGTCCAAGGCCCCGACTGCCGCGGCGATCGCTGTGTCGACGTCGTAAATCAAAGCCGTCGTGATCTCCATCTCTCTTTTTTTTGTAGAACGGGCTTAGTTTTGCATGACGTAACGAGGTGACGATGATCGACAAGCTTTATGACGATGAGCTTAACATGTGATGAGCGTCTGGTGCGACTTTTGCGAAGGGCAGTGCGAAGGAACTGCCGTTGTTTCTCTGCAACCTTTGCTATTTGGAATGGTTGGTGGAGACAGCAGTTTGACTGCTTGGTTGGAGACCGGATGGCTAACGATTTTTTATAGATAAACCCCACTGAAAGCATGAACTTCAGTTATAGTGTCTTAATAGTCCGTCGTGTCCTTGGTCCCTCAACTTTTGTCTGCGGTCACAGGTACGTAACAGTCGGTGAAAAATCGATACGTAGTTTGAAATCATTCACAGGAAATGAGTCATCATGGACAAATGAATCGTGGTCAGAAATCATGGACAGGAAAGACCTGGTCACTTAACTTCACTCCACTTTCTTACTTACTTAAGGGCCTACGGCCTTACGTTCCGAAATGTTTTAACATTCTCACATTTTGCAATAAACCATGCTGGTACGATCATCTTTCTAAGCATGCCTAAACGATTATTTCTTGATCCGGATTTCTTGATCACTCCACTTTCTTACTTACTTAAGGGGCCTACTGCCTTACGTTCCGAAATGTTTTAACATTCTCACATTTTGCAATAAACCATGCTGGTACGATCATCTTTCTAAGCATGCCTAAACAATTATTTCTTGATCCAGATTTCTTGATCACTCCACTTTCTTACTTACTTAAGGGCCTACGGCCTTACGTTCCGAAATGTTTTAACATTCTCACATTTTGCAATAAACCATGCTGGTACGATCATCTTTCTAAGCATGCCTAAACAATTATTTCTTGATCCGGAAGTGTATATCTTCACTGGGGATACGGATCAGAAAGAGCATGGCCCACCCGCTTATCATGGACATTATGATTAGTCGTATGGTGATGTCTGGTGAGAATACAAAGGACTAAAGGGGAGAGGAGAAGGGACCAGGCATTAGAGGAGATGGTTTGCCAATGTTTTCAACTGTTCGTATGCGTATATTTTGTGTGTCTTCTATGCTGTACAAATGTCCCTCGAACTAAACCGTGAGCGAACTTTTCATTGAGACGAACCAGGTAACACCCACTGGAGCCCTAGCTGCGGCCCTAGTGGCTCGTGGCGCCCCAGCTGCGGCCAGATGGGCCTGATCCCACCCCGGGTATTGATGGGGTGCCGTGTGGGCGCGCGCCGGCCGGGTGCCGGCCGCTCCTGTGTGGTGTACCTCCGTTGGACGGCGCCTCCGGAGCGCGTCATCGCCACTGATCCACCTGTGATCTGGACTGGCATTCCCGCCCGTCCCGGCGTTGAGACCAGGTGCCGCGCTTAGCCGGCTGTTTTGCCTTGCGGATATGACCTTTTGGCGGCGCTTGCACGGACTCCGGGCTCGCCCAGACCAAGAATAAGGTGCGGATCTGGGCGTTCGTGTTGGGCTTATGAGTAATGCCAACTGAACGAGACTTGGAACGTTATTCGGAATACCCCATGACTTGTACAAAAATTACCAGGGCCTGCCGTGTGGGAAAGGAATCCTGTTGTGATTGGCAGTGGCCTTATGGAAAAGTGCCTCATTTTATTGCTTGATTTTTTTCATTACTTGTTTGTCATGGTTAGAGACGTAGTCGAAACTACGCAAGCATTAAGGGCTTTTCGTTTGTTGAGAGCAGTGCTGGGGTTTTCGTTACGCGGTCCACTTGGCCGATGTTATCTTTACGTAGGCTCTGACGGAAGGCTGGCTCCGCCCCAGTATGTAGTGAGGGCGCCCGGATGCTCGCCGGCAGGTAACGCAGCCTGATGCCAGCACTTCACAGGATAGACTCTCGCTAGCTGTAGGTTTGAAGTCGTTTGGCACCGTGAATAACAGTTTTGATTAACACGCATTTCATCATACGTCCGCTTGTCAGCGCATTTCAGGTCGCAGATGATGTGCTCAGGCCGGTTTTATCGCAATTTGTTACCGGAAACCACCAACAGTATACTGCCGCTCCTTGCCCGGAACTAGCACTTGCGTGATCGGCGGGGATGGTGAAGAAGCGTTTTAGAAACACTACCGATGTGGGTTTATATTTTTCAGTATTTTCTCGTTATTACCCGGTCCTATTTTACTTCCTTGCTTTTCACTTCTCTGGTATTCTCTGTTTGTCAGTCAGCTGACACGGTGGGCAGGTGAGCCAGACACGTCGGCGCCTCTGTAGTGGACTGTGGACGCTGGACGGTCCAGGCGCCCTCGTTGACGGTCACGAGCGACGTTTCCGACCCGCATTCGCAATGGCACCGCGCTGCCGGTAACAGTTGAATTCGCTAACGGTAGCCGACCAAAGGAAGGTGACTGGCGTATTCCAAATTTAGGCGGCGCTCCCGCGTATGTGAAGAGGCGCGTTGAAGTGTGGGCTAGTCCCACAGTCACAGTCATTAACGGTCAGGTGTTGCGTGTCTCTGGCTGAAGTCGGGTCACCTCTGACTGAAGTCGGGTGTTGTGTGTCGGGCCATCTCTGGTTGAAGTCGGGTGTTGTGTGTCTGGCCACCTCTGGTCGAAGTCGGGTGTTGTGTGTCTGGCCGTCCCCTGTAGTGAGAGGCGAGACACTCATTGTGAAGCTGAGCTTGGACCGCCGAGTCTGGGCCCCTGCTCGCGCTCACGACGCCTTCTCGTCCGCAGGAGTCATCTACGGGCTCTGGTTCTTCTATGAGAACGAGTGTTGTCGGATGGCGTCCCTGCTAGAGAGCCTGTGTCAGTCGCCGGCTGGCGGCGGCGCCGGCGGTGGCGCCTCCAAGAATGCCCCGATCGACCTCCTCACACTCTTCCGCAGCGCCTCTGGGGTGAGCACGCTTCCCCGGGGCAGGTTGACTAGGCTGTGCGGGCTCATGGACACGTCGCGAGGGCTCGGGTTCCAGTATGTACGGTGTACGGTCGCTGTGAGGTAGGCGGCGTTGTGTGGGGACTTACAGCGAGGTCGCCGTTCCCGTCGAGTGACACGCGGCCGCTCCTCCGCCAGCCGCAGCAGTCACAATCTCAGCCTGCTCAGCAGCAACAGCAACAGCAACAGCAACCACAACAACAACAGCAACAGCAGCAAACGTCGGCGGTGGCCACGGGCACCGGCAGTCGACCAGATACTCCACAGAGAGCCGACGAGAAGCATGGACAAATTACCATAGCGGACCTCTTCGCCAAGGCGTCCAAAACGGGACAGGTGGGTCACCTGAGTGATCGCCTCGGTGTCAGACGATCCATCATCTTCTCATGGCCGCTGATCTCTGGAGAGGCCGAGAACCGTACACTCCGCATGCGTTTGTGTGAGAACTATGCGGCTGCTATTGTGGAGAACTCCGCAACCTTCGAGCATTGCGTCACTATTAGCATGTGTTGTTACGAATGCACTTCACCGCTGTAATGTCCAGCGAACACTAGCCACTCGACGTTGTCGTGAAATGCCAGGCCGTACTGTGCAGCCTGCACTGGCGGCGCAGCCCTCGCCGCCAGCCGCCGGGCCGCTCCTCCACTCTTGCCCGGCATGTCGAGCGTGTGTGCCGGTGTGGGGCCGGGGCAGCCGCGCTCAGGCTGTCTGCCGGTCGGTGGCGCGGCGGAAGGGGGGGGGGATAAAGGCGGCGCGATCAGTGGGCCGGCACGGCGGCCCGCCGCCGCCGGAGCGGCCGCCGGACGCGCCTGTTTCTGCCGGCGGCGGCACGCCTTTGTTGCGTCTCGGCGGCGGCACAACCGGGCGTTCTTCACGCCGCGATCGGCTGCTTCGCTGAACCTGCCCGTTGATTTACGCCGAGCTGTGCCACGTGCTGATGGGCCTCCGCTCCTGGGCGGTTTCGTCTCGTGTTGAGTCACGCGGAAACCCTCTGCTTCGTGAGTGTTTTTTGTTTCGCTGAAGAGTCAACAATCACTCAACGCGCTGACGCCAAGTGTTGCTGCCATCTCGGCTCGCGGATACTCCTCTGATGCCGCGAGTTCGCCGGGCGATGGCCGGGGCTTGTTCCAGCAGGCGCAGGTGAGGTGGCGCGGTCGGCAGCTCGGCCGGGACGGCGGCGCTGGCGGCGGCGGCTGACCCCGGGCCGCGATGGCGGCTGACCCCGGGCCTCGGTCACGGCTGACCCCGGGCCGCGGTGACGGTGACCGTCTGTCGGCAGGTGCTGATTGGCAAACAGACGGTGCGCTCCATCTCGGTGTCGGAGGTGGAGGACGCCATGCCAGACTTGGGCGGTCGGCCCCGGCCCGCCCTCCAGCAGCCACCCACGATCTCCGCCTGCCCGCCGCCAGGTCAGGGGCGCCGGTCTCACACCCCCGGGCAGCGCCAGCTCCGGCCGCAGCGCCCAGTGTCGGCTCAGACTCCGCAGCCTACTCTGGGCGCAGCCAGTACGGACTAGTGCGCTGTTTGTCGAGGCTTCGGTATTGCGGCGCATTTGGTGGCCCTAGGTACAGCAACGTGAATCAGAGATACTATCATCCGTAAGCATCGCGATGCAGCAGATTTCCCAAAGCACAAAAGTAAATTCCATTCGTGTGTGCGCGACGTCCACTCCGCCTGTGTGCCCGTTGCTTCGGAACCGAAGGATGTTTCCGTAACATAAATAGCAACCGGTACTGGACATGCTTCCGTCTGCTCCGCTGGCGTATGTCGTTCCCGGAGAGGACATGGCGCTGCAGAACTATGGCGTCGGCAGGGCTGGCCCAGTCGTGCTGCACAATTGGAGCTGGGCAGCAGCGTCAACTTGTCTGGCGCTATGCGTCACCCTGGGTGTCCATCGCCGGTTGTTGCCGTCCCATGTCGCTGCCGAGGAGGCCGCCGCGACCGAGCGGCGTCGTCTCCCAAAACCGCGCCGTCCGGCCCCGCCTCGGTGGACCGAGCCCGGCGCAGCTCCGGCCGCAGCGAGCGCTGACCGAGCGTGTGCTGGCCGACAGACGCGGCGGCCGTGCCGCCGGTGCGCGAGACCGAAGCCAAGGACGTGAACCGCATCCAGGAGCTGTTCAGAGGCAGCCTGCAGATGGGCGCCGCCGAGGCGGCTCCGGCCCCGGCCCAGGCCTCGGCTCCGGCCCCGGCCCCGGCCCCGGCTGCGGCTGCGGCCCCAGCTGCAGCGCCGACCGCGGCTCCGGGATCTGCTTTAGTCCCTGACCCGACGCCGGTACGTACTGTCGGCGTCGCGACCCGACTGATGACTTCCTCCCAGCCGACCGCCGGGGGCGGGTTTGGCGGCCTGGAGATCTGCGGCGCCGCGGCGGAGCTGCACTGGTCGCCAGCTGCTCTGCCCGCCAGCTGCACTGGTCGCCAGCTGCACTAAGCGTCAGAGCTCAGCGGAATGTCTGTAACGCGCACGCGTCGTAGGAATGTGGTCGCATCGTTGGTTATGCATTTGCTTTACCTCCACGTTGCTCGCGCGGTACGTGCACATGCCTTTGGATGTGACCACGCTGTTCGCCGTTTTTGGCTGTTTAGCTACGGTTTAGGTACGGCCGCATTCGTCGCAGAATGGATGTTTTCGCGTTGAGATGAACGCTGCGATGTGATCGTTTTGGCTTCTGTGCCTGCAGGCGTCCGGGACTATCTCGCTGATGTCGCCGATGATGTTCTCGGCGCTGGTGCCGCCGCCTGCCGTCGAGCTGGGAGGCTCTGGTGCGGCCGGTGACCGCGCGGTGCTGGGCGCCACAGCGCCCTCCCCGCTGCTGGGCGAGCGGGTCCGCAATGGGGACGGCGATCTGACGGAGGTCACGCCGCTCACCAAGCGCCAGCTGACGCAGGCTTTCAACTATCTGCTAAAGGTGTGCCGTCCTGGATACCTGCCGTGGGCTTTGGTGATGTGAGGAAGGGGGGGGGGGGGAGCCAGCGGATGATGATCCGGTGCAGACTGCTTTCTGTCACAATTGATACCGTCACAGCAAACGGTTGATCTACGGTTCATGGTGGTGCCTGTCGCGAAACAAACATGTCGGTGTGCACCTGAGGCCACAGCTGTCTCCACATGGCTCGCTGCCACACTTGGGAGCGTTTTGTTCTCTCCGGTGTCGACGGCCAACGGAACGTTCCCCGCCACACTTGAGCGGGCTGCTGTGTCGTCGGCTGCCTGTGACACGCGTCCGTCCCTCTTCCAGAACGACGACGCGTTCATCGCCAAGCTGCACGACGCGTATGTGAAGTCGCTGACGGAGAGCTTCAGGAAGAGCTGATCTGGCTGTGCCCTGTACCTGACTCGTGTGCGCTGCTGTGTTTGTGTCGCCCGCGGAGCCGCCGCCACGCCACGCGGCCCGGCGGCTCCGCGGCCCCGCCGGCGCCCCGCAAGCTGTAGCCGCCGGACTGCCCGCGGCGGGACCGTTTTAGCGGGCAGTGCGGACGGTTTTACGTGGGCCCCGGCCGCCGCGAGGGTTTTGATAGCGTTTTAGCGGAGGACAGCGGTCGCCGCGGACACGACGGCGGATGCCGCTCCGGAGTAGAGCTATTTAGTTCCGGCTGTGGCTCGCGGTCTCGTGCGTGTAACTGTCGTGCTGTGTCGCGAAGCGCGGAATAAAGAACCCGCGCCTGCTCCGAGCGTGTTACCGATCAGAGCCAGCGAAGCGCGGAATAAAGGACCCGCGCCTGCTCCCAGCGTGTTACCGATCAGAGCCAGCGAAGCGCGGAATAAAGGACCCGCGCCTGCTCCGGGCAGGTTACTAATCAAATCCAGCGAAGTGCTTGGTAAAGGACCCGCGCCTGCTCCGAGCGCGTTACCGATCGAGGCCAGCGAAGCGCGGAATAAAGGACCGGCACTTGTTCCGAGCGTGTTACCGATCAAGGCCAGCGGAGCGCGCGGAATAAAGGACCGGCGCGTGCTCCGAGCGTGTTACCGATCAGGGCCAGCGAATCACCGAATAAAGGACCCGCGCTTGTTCTGAGCGCGTTACCGATCAGGGCCAGCGAATCACCGAATAAAGGACCCGCGCTTGTTCTGAGCGCGTTACCGATCAGGGCCAGCGAATCGCCGAATAAAGGACCCGCGCTTGTTCCGAGCGTGTTACCGATCAAGGCCAGCGAAGCGCGTAATAAAGGACTCGCTCCTGCTCCGAGCAGGTTAATGTCCTGCGAAGAGCTGGGTGAAGGGCCCGCGCTAGTTCCGAACGTGTTACCGATCAGGGCCAGCGAAGCGCGGAAGAAAGGACTTGCTCCTGCTCCGAGCAGGTCACTAATCAAACCCAGCGAAGTGCTCGGTAAAGGACCCACGCCTGCTCCGAGCGTGTTACCAGGCCAGGCCAGCGATGGTTACGCTCCAGGCCAGCGATGCGCGGAATAAAGGACCCGCGCCTGCTCCCAGCGTGTTACCGATCAGAGCCAGCGAAGCACGGAGTAAAGAACCCGCGCCTACTCCGAGCGTGTTACCGATCAAGACCAGCAAAGCGAATAATAAAGGACCGCTGCGGGAGGCTGGCCAGGCAGCTGGCTTCATGAACAACATCGGAGTCTGTCTATGTTCGCTATGTGAAAAGTGATCAGCCACGCTGTCCGTTATATCAGACTGCGATATCCCGCCACACGGCTCCACTCCGACAGCTGTTGCGAGATCGTAAGACGCTTACGTCACGAGGTCATACCAGCGCAGAACGCGCATAAAAACACGGCAGCGCATCTCCTATAATGTGTATTAAGGCATGCGCTGACATACAACCGACACTAGCTCGTCAAATAAAGTCATCAAAAAGAAAACAAAACCACCGTTTGGGTGTGTGCGGGCCGGCCGGGGCGCGCGGCCCAGTCGTTGCCCGCCGGCCGCGCGCCCCAGCGCCGCCAATTTCGGGGACGCAAGCAAAAGCTCCATTGGCACATGGTCGGGGCCGGGTCCACCACACAAGGGGCCGCGCCCCACGGCAACAATAAATACGGCCGGGGTGCCGCTACGCGACACTGCGACAGAGCGAGGGAAGGCCTGCGGGCGGGTTAGACGAGCCGCTGGGCGACGGCGGCGGCGGCGGCGGCGGCGGCGATCACTGCACGCTCCGGGCCGGCCTACACCTCCACCTCGAACGGCGAGCCCGGGATGTCCTTCTCGCCCCAGCGCACCACCAGGATGTACTTGCCGCGCTCCTTGACCGTGTAGAACACCTGGTACTGGTTGCGGCCCATGTGCTTGATGTGCACCTCTTCGCACGGGTTCTTCGGGCCGAAGCAGCCGACCCACAGCATGTCTTGACCTGCAGGCGGGGCTGTGGTTAAAGGCGGCGGGAGTGGAGGGCGCATGTCGCACAGAACTACGGACCGTTCATGGACTATTGGCCTCATCGACTGACCAGACATGAGCCAATTTGAAGTTGTTGAGAGCATTTGCGAGGAACATTACTCACGTAGAGAAGGGGGTAGTAATATCTCTATTCCTAGGAGAAGAACTAGCAGAATGGGAAAATAGATGCGCTGATGTTTCGGCGCATGCCTCTATCGAAACAAATAGTAGGAAGTCATGAAACAGTCAGAAATATCAACCCATTTATACCCCATTCTCTCGGTTTTTCTCCGAGGAATAAGGCTATCACTACCGTCTCACGTATCATTCAATTTGCCTTGTGACTGACTCGCTGTGACCGTCACGAACCCCACACCGAGGAAATGGACGGTGTGGCCTCACCCGCACAGCCGGCGTCCACGGTAAACTGGTTCTGCCGCCCGATGAACGCCTTCTTCAGGCCCATGCCCTTGGAGGTGACCTTCTCGGCGTCGGAGTTGAAGGCGGGCAGCGAGGGGCCCTGCTTCTCCTGTTTGCTGGCGGCCATCTTCTCAATCGTCTCCACGACGACGGCCGACTGCTCCTTGGGCCCCTTCTCCGCAAGCTCGTCACCTGGAGGGTGCACGGGGTGGTGATGAGTCCAGATACGGTCCGATGGATTCTAACCTCTTTCAGGCAGCGGTGGAGAAGCTGCAGCAGAAACCCAGCGAAGCTTACTAACAAAGCTAATGAGCTTTGTTAGCGAACTTCTCAACTAAACATGACTAAATAGATAGTTGAGAAATGCCATTATATGGCATAGGTCAATGATGCAAGAGGCATAAGTATGTTTTTTTAATCAGAATAAACAGGCCAAGAGACGCTAGATCTTGCAGCGGATCTACACGCGGCTCGACCACGCGCTGGCGTCGCACAAGCTCTTCTGCTCTATCGTATCATCCCGTACCCTCACATGACCTAGTCTCGCGGGGAGTCCAGCCGTCGCATGACCTCCTTTCGCCGGGGGTCCGGCCGTCGCGCGACCCCCGTCTCGCTGGGGGTCCGGGCGTCAGTCGAGTCAGCGTTACTGTCGGTCTGGCGCCGGTCCGTGTGACGGAACTACGATACCCGCATGTTGTGCGGCTCGCACGAGTATGAGCGTGCTTATCTGCCACGTTTCAGTCCCATGTTCGGTTAATGTATGACGAGCCGTAGGCTGAAGACCAAGTCGCCTGTTCGGCTGGTGCGCTTATAGGCTCGATTTACAGGTGCGAACGTTCGTGTTTCCATTGTGATATGGACCACTAGTTGAAGAATCGACCCGGGCGCTCGAAGAGTCCCAGATCGGGCCCCCTGTGCGGACCAAGCCTCCGGTCCTCGGGGGAGCCAGGCAAAGGCTAGTCTCCAGCAAGTCTCCACGATAGGTCTCCATGTCCGGTGCTGCCCCAGCTCTCACCTCTCCTCGATAGCACGGTTACCTCTCCGTAGTCCAATCGTCTATCCTGGCGAAGGCGACACTAACCTGACGACAAACACGCTAACACAACAGCCCGTAATGCAGTAGCAGCCGGCCCCGGTAACCGCCCGTTGGCTGTAGCCCCGACAGCGGGCGCTCCGCAGCCGCCCGCCCGCTCGGCCAGCCGGGCACCCGCCGACACGCACCTTCGACCTCGACCTTGAACGGCGAGCCGGCGATGTGGTAGCCGTCGTACTTGACGCCGACGAAGTAGTGGCCAGGGCTGAGCGGCGTGTAGCGCACCTTGTACCCCTCGTCCACCTCTGTGCAGTCCATTGCCACCTGGTGGCAGACGGGCGGACGCTCGACTCAGCGGCGCCGCAGAGCTGGTGTCAACTGATCCCCGGACAGGCGGCTTCGGAGACTGTCAGTGACTGGGTGCTTTTTAAACGTGTTCCAGAATTGGCTCAGTTGAGCTGCAGTAATAAACTAACAAGCTTCAGCCAGCAAAAAAGTCGTACGCGACCACAACAAGTTACGAATTAAACGATCGCAAGAAAAAATGTTGAAGCGTTTTTAAAGGGATTAAAAAACATACAAAATGGCCACATCATCCAAAACACCCGGGGGGCGGGGGTTGTAGACGTGCAGACCACACATCGGCCCTGGCCCGGTCGGCACGGTCCCTCGCCCCGAACGCAGCCCAACGGGGCCATTCCATCGCAGCGCCGAGCCCGCTGACCTTGGACGGCCCATCGATGGTGACCGCCAGCGTGCCGGCGCCAGCGTTGCACGTGTCCACGATGAAGTCAGACTTGTGGCCGGTGACGCCCTTCTCGAGGCCCTTTCCGTGCGCGTGCACGGCCGCCGGGTCGGCCTCCTGTTTGCCGATCTTCAGCCGGAACGGCGAGCCCGGCACGTGCACGTTGTTCCACTTGACGTGCAGCTGCGGGCGAGGGGGGAGGGGTCAGGACACGGGGCGGTTCCGGGGCCTTCCAGCACGGGGTGGAGGCGTGGAGACCGCTTGCACCGCCTTTCGGTGGAAATTGTGAGGCACTGTTCCACTGCCAGGGCCATCTGGTTCTGGGACTGCCGTGAACTTACACAAACGTGCACTTCAGTATCACTGACGGGCTTTGCCCACTAGAGCTGCTAACACTAAACCACCGAGCATATTCACCAGTAACAACGCAATGCAACTGACTTATCTCAGATGCGTTACCGGCGCGCCTCCGCCGCCTCCGTTTCGTCCTCACCTGGTGGATACCGTTCTCCTTGGGCAGGAAGCGAACCGAGTAGGTGTCCTCGTCCAGGTACTGGGCGAAGCAGTCGTCCTCGTGTCCGCTGGGCGACACGACCTTGCAGTCCAGCTGGCCCTTGCAGCCGCTCCGGTCCACCATGAACACGATCGGCTTGTCCACCTGGCGGCCAGGGGAGGAACCAGGCGTCAGCGCTGCTGCGGGTGATCGCGGGGAGCAGCGGCGGGCCGCCCGCTGCACCAGACGAGGAACTCGGCTGGAACGCTCCGGCACGTAACGCTGCTTTCGGCATTAGGTGCACAACAGGAAGCAGAAATATCACGAGCAAAGCAAGTTAATGAATTCGATGTAAAAATACGGTCACCCCATATAAATATTCTTACGGAATATTGTGCACGATGATTTGCACAGCCGGGATATATATATATATATATATATATATATATATATATATATATATATATATAGTGCATGTATGCACTCCGAGAATTATGGAATGCATACATACTGTAGATCAGAAGTAAATAAAGCAAAGACGTATGCATATTGCAAGGCTCAAAATAGCAAACAAGTGAATAGAATCAAAACTAATCACACCTGGTATTGACAGCTGTTATGTAAATTTTAACACGCCAACCTTAAAAACTGCATCGCAGTTGTAATTACCGTGCATTTAGCCCCGTACCGCCGATAATGCTGAGCCGAATACAACCCCTCTAAAAGCGGATCATTCTAATGATAATTGACGTTCCATGGGGCCATCTGACTCTCCGACTGACAGTATGGCGGCCACAGAGCCCCAGCGGCCACTAACCTGGACCCCGGCGTCGGGCAGCTGACCCACGGTGACCCGGTGGGCATCCTTGTTGGCCGGCGTCACATACACCTTGTACGGAGAGTCGGGGATGTGCGAGTCGTTGAACTTCACTCCCACTCGGTATTCACCTGTCGGGGTGGGACCGTGTTACGAAATATGGTGCTGTATCAAACCCTCCTACGCAGCGCAGCCTGTTTTCATTCAAAACAATTATATCAGCACGGGTCACGTTATTCCGTATGCCGGCGCACGCGCGACATCACTGGCAACGATGTGCCAGGCGCGGGTAGTCCGTATGGTCAGCCATTACAAATGACATCTCCGACCAGGATAAATCAGCTATAAAATGCATGTTCCCTGCGCTTTTACCATACGTTAATAAAAACAACGTGTTACTGATGTCTCAAACACATCAAACAGATACCATCAATCACAGCTAAGTCCCTTTCTCCAGAGCGGAGGCCCCCGTGGTGGGGGACTGTCAGTCACGCGGCCGGTGCCCCGCTAGACGAACGGACCCCCCATCGGTGGTCGTTCGAGCCAGCTCTCGGCGAACGTGGCGTACCAGGCTCGGAGACGACGTAGCTGACGTAGCAGGAGCCGTCCTTGCGGTCCTTGAAGTCGATCTCGGCCTTGCTGGGTCCCTCGACGCTGATGGCCAGCGAGCCGGCGCCGGCCTCGCGCGTCCACACGTTGAACTCGTTGGGCATGCCCTGCTCGCCCCGCTCGAGACCCGGCCCGCCGGCGTGCACGCGGTGGGCGCCGCCGTCCTGCCCGGCAGGTCACAGGTCAGCTCAGGCACGGGTCGCTGGAGGGGTCGTGTTAGGGCTCACACCGGAGTGGATGGCCTCGGCGGGCGACAGATGGGTCAAAATACCAGGCATGTTGCCGCGGAAGTTGAGAAAAGGCGAAGAGCGATGATCACGCAACAGTGTTTGGCAACCCAACGACCGATTAGCCACAGGACCGAGATTAACGCAGGTTATCCGGGGGATACGGGATAATGCAGACATATTCACGAAACATGATGAGATGGTGCCATCGCCCTTCAAAAAAAAAAATGACGGGCGTTTCACATTATTCTGCTGTTTCCACTATGCGCATCGTTCCATACTCACAAGTCAAGATCCTAATATTCTCAGACCTATTACACAGATCAATGACAGATTAAACTATCTCGGAAAACGGGTGGTCAAGTCAGAAAAAACAAACGGAGCTGGTCGGGCTGGTCGGGGCTGGTCGGGACTGGACGGGGCTGGTCGGGGCTGCTCGGGACTGGAATGACGAGGTGGACGCGGCGGGCCGGGTGCACTCACCTTGAGCGGACCGACGGTGAACTGGAACGGCGAGCCGGGGATGTGCACGTCCCGGTAGCGCACAGACACCGTGTGCACGCCCAGCTCCTTGGGCACGAAGTTGACGGCGTGCAGGTTGTCCTCGAGCTCGGCGATGGAGGCGTCCTCGACCACGCCGCCGGGCGAGGCGACCGTGGCGCTCAGGTCGAGCGCCGACACGCCCGGCATCTTGAAGGTGAGCGCGCAGCTGGAGCCGACCGTGGTGATGGGCGCCGCGTCCCTGTCACGCTTGATGCGCTCCGTCTGCGTGTTGGAGCCCTCGCCCGTCACCTGTGGACGGTGGGTCAGTAAGAGAGGAGACTAGCACAGCGCGCCGCAGCGGGATAGGATTGTCTCATCACCTGTGGGCAGCAGAGACTTTGGCAACAAGACGGGCAGAGTCGTTTACTGCAGGGAGTTCCTGTCTCACTCTCTATCTCTGAGCACGGGAGGAGCTGTGGAGGTGGCTGCGGAGTGCACAGGCGTACGGAGTGACTGTCGGTGTCCGACAAGTTCGCCTCCGCGACGTGATAAACGACCAGTAAGCGCTTCCTAGTTCAACTTCGGCATTTGCAGCAGGCGTGTGACTCTTTCGGAGTGATTTCTCGAAGGAGCCGTGTTCACACTGTCCAGGAGCAGCAAGAACAGAACAGCATGAACGACTCCGCCGCCGAACCTTAGCCGTGAAGGGCGATCCCGCGACGTGGTGATCGGCGAACTTGAGGTTGATGATGTAGAAGCCTGGCTCCTTGGGGTTGTACGAGACCTCCAGCTTGCCGTCGTCCTTGTCGTCGCACTTGATCTCCGCCTTGCTCGGACCCTCGATGGACATGGACAGACCACCGTAACCTGAGAACCACGGCCAGCTGACGGTCAATGGGGAGCGCAGATCACATTGCATAGATAACAGCGCCGAATTTGCCTCACTTGGGGACGGAAAGGGGAGCACAATCAAGCAAGTGCAATATTGACAAACAATGGCATCTATTGGAAATTTGCAAACCGGTCGATGTTGTAACGAAACGGGCACTTACAAGATGAAACCGGTGACATATCGATTTTGATCTTAAAGCACGTCGACTGCTGGTGCCCCGTCACTCAAAACTTTGGAAGCCCGCGATAGAGCTTCGGTCTTTATCGACGTCCCCTACAACGCTCTGGGGTTGTTCGTGCCGGGACAAGACCGACCACTTCTGCCACCCGCCACGACGGGGCCGCCGCCACTCACCGGCCTCCTTGGTGTCGATGAGCACCTTGTTGTCCTGGTGCGTCTTGCCCTCCTTCAGTCCGCTGCCGGATACCTTGACCTTGGTGGCGTCGCCCACCTCCTTGGGACTGACCATGATCTTGAAGGGCGAGCCACTGATCTCCACTCCCTTCTTCTTCACCATGACCAGGTGCTGGCCGATCTCGCGCGGCGTGAAGGAGATACCTGAGGGCGGGGGCACGGTCTCGGACCGGCGCCACACACAACACCCACCGTTCCACTGTCCTACGAGTCGGTTGAGAAGAACGCGCGGATCGTTGAAGCCCGGGGATAATCACGATGTAAATGACCTGATTACCACCATCTTCCGCCATCTCAATAAAAACAGAACGTTTTCTTGTATGATACCACGTCCTTACCACTTGAGTGCATTTGTATTTGAAACAGCGGCGACGGTGCGATAGAACACCCCTGCCCCCCAAACGTACCCCTCCGATCCGGCCGCCGGGCCGCCGCCGTAACACATCCAGCTGCGCACGTACCCAGGTGGTCGTTGGGCAGCTTCTTGAGGAAGCAGGGCTCCTCCAGGCCGGAGGGCGCGGTGATGGAGGCGTTCAGCGCCTTGATGTCCTTCTCGCTGACCTTGCCGGGCAGCGCCACCTCCGACTGCGAGCCGAGCGACACCTGGTTCCGCTTGCGGCCCTCGCCTGCGACACACGGTGACGTGCGGGCTCAGTTCCTCGTCACCACGGTGACGTGCGGGCTCAGTTCCTCGTCACCACGGCGAAGTACGGGCTCAGTCTCGGAGCTGCCGGGTGGCCATGATCAAACAGGTCCGAGCTCTCCAAAACAAACCAGCTCCGTCATTCCTGCGGACGTGCTGATAAGCGAGGATATCTAAAAACAGTCCTTTGAAAGCTAGGGCATTTCAGCCAGCCATCACTCCATTTACAAACGCCAAGAGCGTAATTGCCCTTCAAAGCGACATTGTCGTATCATGCATACCCTCGAGCACAGTTATCCAGCTTTTGTTGGGGCCATGCTTGCCTGAGCCGCACTCCAAAGCTCGCTTATTTAGTAGTTTAAACACTTTGCACATATAGGACGATAACGGACGCATCCCAACCGCATGATTTCGCCGCGTAACGGTTTTGTACCACCTAATGTGACAATAAGACTAGCCCTCTGAAAGGCGCCCGTCCCAGGTACCATTATATGTCACCTGTCACGCGACTATCGCAGCAGTAAGCCTGGTATAGTGAACGAGCCCTGGCACCAGCGAACGCGAGCTTCTCGAGGCAGCCGTGATGTGAGTGGTAGGACGCTGAAGGCCGTTGACGCTCCAGCCGATGACAGGATGGATCCAGGTCTACGGGTCTACGGGCGCCTCAACGCATGCATACGCACTCAGTACAGAGACCGGATTGACGCTTTCGACAGGCGTAACTACGACATGTGAAGCCACCGCCCCGGCCCACATACTGTCGTGACGGCTCTCGGGAATCGCGTGCCAGTTACAGCAGTGAACCAGCGCCAGCAGCGGCCGGCGCCGGAACTGACCTGTGACCTTGACCGAGTACGGGCTGCCCTTGATGTGCTTGTCGGCGAACTTGACGGACACCTTGTACTCGCCAGGCGAGGTGGGTAGGTACGACACGGATACAGTGCCGTCCTTGTTGTCATGGCAACTGATCTCCGCCTTGCTGGGTCCCTCCACGGCAAGCGATAGACCACCTGCGCCACAGAGGGGGAGAAGGGGGGGGGGGGGCGTCAGCAAGGAACAGACCCATGAAAGACACCTGTGGCCGACGCCAGGCGTCGCATGACGCCTGCCGCGCCCGGCCAGCCGCCGCCTCCCCGCCGTCTGCACTCAGGCTGCACACAAACCGGCCGTCTCGAAACACACTTCGGTGTCCATCAAACGGATTGATGCTTGGAAGAGATGTGACTGAACTGGTATCGCTGACTCATAACAGTTGACAGCGAAAAGGTAGTTTCGGAGTATTTGCCCGATCAATAATCTCAAACGTTTCGTTCCAACGTCAGCTACGAAAGACTTCTGACAGACGTCATACGACTAGGCGTGTCGTCAGACGCGCAGCTAAAAAGACGCCAAGAAAATAAACTCCAGCTCGCAAAGATGAAACAAAGCTAAAATACGGAAAGCATAGAGAAAACGTTGCTTAAGAAGAGAGATGCGCAGAACACTTCTGGCATAATATTTCGATGTCGTCCTGTCCACGCTCTTTGCCTCACTAAAAATGAAAATGAGCATCGTACAAAAGAATCAATGACTGGTACCAACGACACTCCTCAATTACAAACAAGATCAGCAAAACGGACAACTCATACCAAAATACCAGCAAAATATCCCGCGGCGGCTCTGTCCACTCGGCCGCGTCCAGCGTCCAGACAGATCCGTGACGTCACGAGCAGAGCGGCACACGCAGCCGCGGCGGCATGCGGAGAGAATGACGTCATATTTACCGCGCATCTGGCTACTACCTGCGCCGGCATCCTTGGTGGAGATGGTGAAGTTGGCCGGCTCGCCAGTGATGCCGTGCACTAGGCCCGGGCCGTGGGCGGTCACATAGCCGCTGGAGATGGAGTCCACGTGGAACTTGAAGGGAGAACCTGCCGACAGCGGGTCGGTCAGACACCGGACACACGCGCCGGGGAGAGGGAGGGTCGGGAGCGCACACTCAATCTATCAGTAGCAGTTTACAGCTGTCAGCAGACACGGCGTTCCGCGGGAGTTTTGGGCGGTATGGTTCATCGGATGGTGACATGACAGGTGGGACTTCAGGACACCAACCTTCGTTCTGGTGCAAAGAGAGGACAAGGATTGGCGAATCCAGCGACGAGTCCGACTTGTCTTCGCACGCAGCGCGACGTGCCCTTTCGCCGCGGGCTACTTTCCGCCAGCGGCCCCAGACCCTGCCCGCGCCTGCCGCCTCCGCCGGCTGCGCGCTCCCACCGCCGGGCGGCGCCACCTCCGACAGCGAGACGGCCGACCGGTAGAGCTCACTGGTCTCCCAGGCACGCTCCGGCCGGAGCGGCGCTGCGCCACCCGCCGCTCGGACAGCGGGCGTCTGTCGGTGAGCGGGCGGAGCGGCCGGCGGAGCGGACGCCAGCCGCGGCAGGAGACCAAGCTGCTCCAGAGCGCGGTGGCTGGCGTCGCCCTCGGCCGGCGGCCGGCAGGTGGCGCTCCGCGCGCCCGACATGGGCACGCCGAGCGGCGGCCGCGAGCGCCCCCAGTCGGCCGGGCCCGGCGCCGTATCGGCCGAGCGCAGAGAGCCGTAGGACGAGCAGGCCGAGAGGAAGCCGCCGCCGTCCGCCTCCGAGGGCGAGCGGTTCGCCAGCGCGAGCTCGTCCGGCCCCAGCTGCGCCGCCGCCGAGCTGAACGACTCGTCCGAGCTGGCGCTGTCGGCGTCGGGACGCGTCGAGCGCAGGCCGGTGTCGCTGCGGCGGCGTCGCGCCACCGTCGCCGCGCTGGCCGCCAGCTGACTGTGCGAGTGAAGGTCCCGCGGACCGCTGCAGCCCGGCACGAAGCCGACACTGAGGGTCGAGGCGCCGGTGACGCTGGGGGAGGAGGACGCGACGCTGGCGCTGGAGGGGGCGGCGGCGCACGTGTCGCCAGCACCGCCTGCTGGCGACGACGGCGGGATCTTCTGGCGGCGTGACGGTACAAACAGAGAGATTGAGTGACTGCTCTGCGCCGGCACTACGCGGGCTTCACTTCGGAAGCTGACTTTTCTAACACCTGGGTCTTTTACAGGTGGAATCTTCCTTTGCTCCGAATCTTTCCTGGGAGCAATGGGGAGAGGGTCTTGGCCATTTACGGCGTCTTGGGTGGATACAACTGCATTGTCATCAGGGCCAATTTGATCTTTTGCCGCTTCCCTTTCAGACCGAATGTTGCTCACATTAATGTCCCTTTCGGGCATGACCTTGCTTTCTCCCGATTCCCCGCCAAATAGGGTGTTGTTCAGGCTTGAGTTATTGTCATTGGAGATCTTCCTTGCGCACGTGTCCGTCTGCGTGACGACACTGCATGCACCAGAGTTCTTTTTTGAGATGGTTATGGTTGCATCTGCCGGACCAACATCGTCCTCCACGCTGCTCATTTCGGGCAAACTAAGGCTTACGGGACAGTCCTTCCCAGCAGAGGTTTTTCCAAGAGCGGTGCTGGTTGCAGCTACGGGTTCAATCCTGTTTACTCCAAGGGCAGCGCTGATTGCATCTGCATGGTCGATGCTGTTTACCCTGGCGTTTCGGTCAGGGACATTTTTGCTTGTAATGGAGTCCCTCCATGGGGGAGCCTTTCTTGCACTCAAGGTCTTTCCGGCGGAACCCTTATTTGCACCTGAGGTTCTCCCAGGTGCGCTTTTACTCAGGCCCGAATCTTTTCCAAACATAAATGGGTCAGGATTGAGGGAGGATTTGCTATCGTTGACTTGGTAGGACTGGAATGGAATTTCTAGAATGGCTTCGGATGACTGAACAGAACCTTCTTTGGTTTCAAATCTATTGCTGTAGTCGAGCTTTTCTTCAGCTTTGGTCGTCGAGAAATCAGAGCGCTTGAAACAACTGCTTGCGACTATTCCATTTTCATTTTGTGATTTGTCTTTGTCAGGTGAACTCTTTCCATCTTCGCACTGTCGCAGCTGTTCATGACGCTTCCGGTGGGACTTACTCGACTTTGTTTCCACTGAAGCCGTCTCGTTATTGTCATGAGAGGACCTAACTTTGACCCTTCTTGCCTCCCTCCGAGTGTCAACTGTTCTCACATCGGCGCGTTCACCCTTGTCAGAGCCGCTTTGCGACTTAATTATAGTGTTTCCCACCGGGGCCATCAACGGTTTCGGAGCGTCGTTACTTTTTGTGAGCCGGCTATCGATATTTGCTTTCAAGGTCCTGGCGTAAGCCTCATTTTTCAACAGCCTTTCCAGCGGACACTTAGTCTGGTATGGGTCTTCATACCCCTGACGCCAGTGGCCGCTGAACAGATCTGTAGTTCGCCTACAGCCGCTAGGCGGCCTCACAGTCGGTACAAAGCCTCCGGACGCTTGAGAAGACATCGAGTTCTCAGAGGCTTTCTTGGCAACAGGCAGCAGAGATGGAGCGGACTGCCGGATATGATCTGGGACGTCAGGAGTGGTTAGGTTTAGGCAGAAGATCCGTATCTCATCTGTAAGGCCTATGACAAAGACAACTGCAACTTCGCCACGACGGAAGCGGCCCCTTCTGCCTGAAACCATACACCAGCGACACACTGCGGTGACTGCCAACCGTCCAGGTGCATGCGTCTATAAATATTCCCGGCGACGCAATCCTGGCACCGTCCCGGACGAGGTATTGGACCACCGCACCCTGCACATAACTAATGTCACGGCCCGGCTCGACACTTTCGCTCCGCCGTCCCCGCCCAGATGGGCGCCGCCAGCCTGCAGTCGGAGGCGTCCCACAATCTTGGCCGCTTTTGGGCAGACCGGTCTACTAATCTGGTTTTGCCAAAACCCGGTGAATTCCAATACCGTCGGCCTCGGACTCCAGGAAAAATAAATGTGCGGCTGCGCCTCCGTGCCCTCGTGCAAACGACCCGTCGACTCACCCTGGACATGTTCTCCATTGTACTTGACGACCAGCTCGTGCAGGCCCTCCTCCTTGGGCTCATATTTGACAGAGACTGTGCCGTCCCTGTTGTCCTCGATGATGGGCTTGTCCACCTTGCCGCTGGGCATGTTCACTTCGGCTGGGAAGAGGTCAAAGCAAGGTCAGATCAGCTGAGCACGGGCCACGGCCGAGGCACCGCAGCTGGGGTCGGGTCAAGAAGGCTGGAAAGAGGATGGGGCGAAATCATCTCCGCCGTCAACGACTCTTGGTAGGGCCCCTTGAACTGAAAGGAAACAATTAAAGCTTTACTGGCATGGGCCGGGACACAGCGTGGTCACTTTGGCTACCAGTGGACCACGACAGCGTTTGGCCAGAAGGGCAAGCGGCACAAAGAGTCCGCCTGCACCCGGGAACGGGCACGTCAGCACCGCCTCGGACGAGACAGGACACGGCCGTCACGGGACGACGGGCGACATCTGCAGCACCTGCAGGTCACAGTGGCGGCGGGCGGCTCACCCTGGCGGAAACGCCGCATCCTCCGCCCTGTCTGACCGGGTGCTCGGCGGTGGCGAACGACGTATCGACCGGACTTCGAGGCACTGTCGCGGCATTTAAAAACCGCTTGGTAAGTATGGTGTGGCGCCAATTGGACGACTGTGAGTCGACACGCAGTGCTTTAGGTAGTCACTAAATTTAGACGGCATGTCCTGACGTTAAACGACCACTAATCTTAACTTGCTTCGGGAAATGGCGACAACTACACGTAAGAAGTATAAAGGTGGTATCTAAGAGAATTTGGTAAAACGGTTCGAGCAGAACGTGGCGACAAAATATGCAACTAAGGCATGGCTCAGGTGCCCGTTGCCCCAAGTGACCAATAGTGACGTCAAAATGCGACAAAATATTTGCGAAAATAATAGACCGGGGAAGCCACGTGACAAAACACCAGAGGGCGTTCTCAGTGCCCTATTACGAGGTTGTCTATCCTGTGCATGTCATACCTTCTTTCATAGAACATCAGGAAGGAAAATGAAGGATGACCTGTGGTGAGTGCATTAATAATTTTGGTGACACGCTGGGTAAAGTATTGTGCCATGTTCTCCTCCCTGTGCGTCGTTAAGGTCTCGTAAAACCTATAAAGCTCAACAATTAAGTTCAATGATAACTTAAAACCATCACACCAGCTGAACGCAATCCTCATCAACACTACAATGTGTCCGACATTCTGACACCCAACACAACTATGATTAAAATGCCCGACTAAGTGCCAACAGCCCATTACGCCTTTGAGCCCGACCTTACCTTGGCATTATGCCAACCCTGCGTGCCTTTGTGTTACTGCCGACAGCAAGCTTTTACATTGTCCTGAGAATTGACCTTTCTGATTCACTCCTTCTCTCAGACGATGGCATTGACTCTGCACGAAACTTGGAGGCGGAACTACATAGAACTGACCTCACACACGGCGCCGGCTGACACGCACCTGTAACGTGGCCGCCAGTGGTGGGCAGGGGGATGTTGTTGAGCTCGACCGGTCGGTACTCGTAGTACTCCTCCTGGACGCTGGTGGCGGTGGCCGACTTCAGGTGCTCGGTTCGGGTGCGTGTAACGTTCTCCTCCGACTGGGCCTGTTCGGAGCAGGGGCGCACGGACTGAGGTCAAGCCACACCCCCACCAAAGACTTTCCGGAAATGCAACCGCAACTTGCTTCCGCGAAATGGCAACGACCCTCAGTTCTGTATTAGAGTGGCGAGCTTCGGTTAGTACTGACTAACGTGCCAGCGCTTGAGAACAAATGCTCGCAAATCACACAGCATTTCAAGCTCGTGGATCAGGGATGACGAAGTGGCATGATTGGCCGAAGACGAGGCTGTTGGCTCCCAAAAATGACAGCCAGCTTTATTCAACAGCAGCGCAGCTATCATAACAACGGAGACAGCCGCATGAAATATCAAGCTGTTGACAGAAGATAATGTGTGGTATGACATAACGCAACAGGTGGGCGAAGTGAGACAGCTTCCTAGTTGTCTCACATCTGGCGGCCACTATGACGTGCACCGCAATGCATCTTATTCTGTCAGTAAGTGAGGCGCAAGACTCGCATGTTGCAAATACCAAGACATCATTTGCGCCAGCCGAGGCGCGGCGGCAACAGCGGCATGTTTTACAGATGACTGCCGAGCGGCTCATGACAATGGGCGGCCTCTGCACCGCGTGCCCGGCGCTCCGGTAAATGTGTTTTACGACTGGTGCGGCTCGCGCGGCGCGCCGGCCGCCGGCGACAGCGGCGGCGGCGCGTGTGACTCGAGCGGCCGCGCGTCGCCACGCCCCGCCGCCGCCGGTGTCCGGTGGCGCGCGAGGCTCGGCCAGCCGTCACCAGCCGCCGGGACACCGCCGGATGTCGGACGGGGAGGACACACGGTCGGCGGCGAGGCTCGGCCAGCCGTCACCAGCCGCCGGGACACCGCCGGGACACCGCCGGATGTCGGACGGGGAGGACACACGGTCGGCGAGGCTCGGCCAGCCGTCACCAGCCGCCGGGACACCACCGGATGTCGGACGGGGAGGACACACGGTCGGTGAGGCTCGGCCAGCCATCACCAGCCGCCGGGACACCGCCGGATGTCGGACGGGGAGGACACACGGTCGGCGAGGCTCGGCCAGCCGTCACCAGCCGCCGGGACACCGCCGGATGTCGGACGGGGAGGACACACTGTCGGCGACGAACGGCCCTCGTGGGGACGAGGAAGCGGCGACCGCACTGATGGACGGTCAGCAGGTCGGTAGGAGCGCAGGGCCTCGAGAGCGTAGTCGCGGCGGTTCGCACGCAGGCTAAGATTGAACAGTCACGACCTCAATTAATATCCTCTTGTAAGAATGTGCGGAATTATAGAGATAGGGCATGGTATCGTGTGGTACAATTGTTGCTCAGCCATTGGCTGTCACAATATATATATATATATATATATATATATATATATATATATATATATATATATATATATATATATATATATATATATATGTGTGTGTGTGGGGGGGGGGGTGGGTGGGTGTGTGTGTGTATTGTATATTGTATATTATTTTAGCCGCTAGAAATAGGTGTTCGTGAATACCATACATGGGGCCAAAACCATAGATCACGGCATAGTTATTTGATTTACTGTGCGACCAAATAAAAAACACTTACATTTGAAATTGCACTTAACTTGCGTCAATGCGACGAGTCGACGTCGAGTCGACGAGTCAATGCGAGCGGAATTTTGCGTTTTTTTTTTAATCGGTTTACCACACTTACGGTAGGCAATTTGAGGTTCAAAATAGGCAAAGGACCAAAAGACTTTTCTGCTTCTCTTGGTTATTTTAGGCTTCCAGCCGGTGAGCACGACGTTACGCACTGCAACGGTTAACTAGTCAGTGCGAAACAATGCCGTCGGTGCGCTAACGCTGGAAACATCAGCCAGCGCCTACGATGCGCTGAATGAGACCTAACAAACTAAACAACGCAAGAGATGAGCATTGGCATCTCATCTCAAGGTCAACATGAGTATTTTCCTAATGAAAATGTGCAATACACATCACGTGTTACAATAAAAGCTCGAGAACTCTTATCAGAACAAAAGCGATGCCGGGCTTGAAATGGACTCCAGTCTGCGTCACTGGGGCCGCGTGCTCGGATGGTCATCCAATCCAGCACATCTCAGCGCGACCCTGCATGAGTCCAGAGGCGGACGGCGGGCCAGGCGTGAAAAGGTCAAGGCACGGCTCCAAATCACCGGCGAACAGTCATTAATTACGGCGTTGGAACTTGGCGGACAGGGCCCTCGGAATAGCTCACACATACCTTCTCTAGTGCTCCGTAACAAAACAACGAGATGGTCGGTCGGGACTTTTCTGCGGGCAACAGACGGCCCGGCGCTGTTTACACAGCTGAGCTATCAAAGAAAATCGTCAGATACTTTAGCGAGTTACAGGTCCGTGGGCTGCAAAGATAATGTTGATGGCGCTATATCATTTGCAACGCAATGCCCGCTAGTACGCACATTTTCCTTAGTTCGAAAACTATTCGTTGCAGCTCAAAATCAGGGAAGAGAGTTGAATTAAAGGAGGATACGTTCACGTTCTCTCCATAATATTACATTTCTAATGATCTAGTTAATGTCAGAAGCACATGCCATTAGCAACGGCAAAGTACACGTTCATCTTTGTTTGCGTGGGCTCTTCCGGTCAATTGCAGTTGAATGCCTACAAGCAGGGCAACATCCATGCTGCCAGTTAAGGCCATTACAGGCATGGGCATGCGCGGATTCTGAAATAACGGCATGCTTTCGAAACTCACTTCCCCCTTGTTCTTCATGGAGACGTTCTCCACGCTCTCCCACAGTACTTCGCGGCGTACAAAAACGTTCCAAAATGTTCGAGAGTGATATTTTGGCTCACACAAAGATCGTTTATTTAAATGTCACTCACAAAACCTCTCTGGGGTAAGGCAAAACTCACAAAACTTTCACTGGGATAAAAAACTTACAACCCCTTTCTTGGGATAAAAACAACGTTGGTTAATATTAACCAGTCGCATACGCTCGAAATTTAATTATCCTTCAGGACTTCTTTTGATTGAGACATTGAATGGTTATGGCTATTAACATGTCTGAAGGGCATTTATGCCTGCCTAAATCTTCAAACGCATCTGCCCCTCTAAGATAATTACGTCACCAAAAAACTAAATCACGAAATATGTACGTTTGATTGGAACTCGACAACCAAAAGCTTATCCAAATGCGTCATAAAGTGAATAACGGGTGAGTAAAATCTGTGGGAAAATAGGCACGACACCACATTATTTTGTAATCAACGAAGATAAAGAGTGTCAAACTGTTTGCGGTGAATATTTAGCTGCGACAGATCAGTGTCAATTGGCTTGCTTCCGAGTCCAGCTATAGCTGCTACCGAGCGGTGGATGTTGTTCTTACTCGGCTAGATCAACATGTTCCGCGTGACTTTCCTTGGTTTCCGGCCGAGCGGCGCCCGCCAGCGGGCAGCAGCTGCTCACCTGAGAGGGTCACCGGGTCTGGGGTCCCTCACTGAGAGCGCAGGCGGCGGGTGAGAGCTCAGCGACCGAGGCCCACCCTCTGACCGACCGCCGTCCGTCGCCGCGTCGCGAAAAAGTGGGCGCCGCCGGGGTGCCGCGGCCCGGTTGGGCGGCTGTGATTGGCGCCTGGACCAGCACGCCCCGCCCACACGCCGCTTATGGTGCCCTCGGGCCGCTGGGTCGGCCGACGCCCCTCGCCGATAGCTCGGGCCGAAATGTCACACCCCTCGCCGCCTGGACCGGACCCAGCAACCCGCGGCTGGAGGGGGCTGGCCAGCCGGCGCTCCGGCAGTTTCCAGCGGGAGACACTGGACGGCGCGTCATCTACCGCGCCGGCTCGGCACTGGAGCGAACACGGCGCGCTCGACACACACCACCCCGGACGGCCCGCTCTGTCGGACGAGCCCTGGTAGCGCCACTGAGCACGGTAAGCCACAGAGCTGCCGAGGTGGCCGAAGCGACATGCGCATCACTGTGGCGATATTCATCTGAATATGCAACGATAGCCGTGCATACTCACAAGTACACACCAGAGCAGCTGCTCGAACTTAATGGCGGAAATGAACCCAGCTTCCGTTATCAAATAAGGCGGGCGATTTTCCGAAACCAAACTCCCAATGTGTGCAATATTACTTGTTAAAATAGCACAGCACAAATCCCATATATTAAACATCCATAAGTTAAAATACTACCATTCGAAAGCATGAAGTATACGCTGAGGTCAAGCGTTGAGTTGTGGCATGTTCCGTGGGAAACTACTTGATCTGTCATAGGAATACGCAAATGGCCATTAGTTCACATGTATACAACTAACATATCAATAAATAAAAAGGTTTCTGCATGGTTGACTATGTTAATATTGTTCCTCGCAGCCAAATCTCAGGCGCTGAATGTTAATTTAAAAGCAGTTATTGAATTGTAGCTGCTAGTTGTAGCTTAGTGTAGATGAATACGAAGTCGAAGCAGCGTCCAAAGGCTATTTTGAATGGCACCGATATGTGTTTGGACTCGAGCGCTGGGCTCGAGCGAGCAGCGGTAAAACCGCGGCCGAGAATGCGTGTGATGCGGCACAGTATCCATGCAGAGCAGGCGCTTGCACACAGAGCCATCTCGTGACCGTCTCACAAAACATTATTCTGGCAGTACCATGGAAACGACTGAACACCTGGCACGTGCTGGCACATTTCCATAAGATCAAAGGTCAAACTTAAATACGGACAAAGGAAAATGTTGCATCTGTCTGCAACGACATTTTAAACAGGGAGGCAAAGGGCAGATGTTGGTGCCTGACATACATATAACACTAGCACCACGCTCAGCATTACCTTAGCAGCAATATTGTAGCGCCCTAATATCACGCTTGATGTCGTAGAGGTCGAATTTTGCACGTGCATCGCGTTGAACCATGTTCGTCTCAGCTCCCCTTGAGTCACTCATAATGCTGAAGCATCCGTACTGAATACAACAGTTCCGTGGCCATAATTAAACGCCACTGTTTTCGCCAGACGACTGGTCCAGAGCGGTGCTAAGCCAGAT